CCACAGGGGGCTCAATCCCAGGACCCTGGGATCACGAGCTGAGCCAAAGGCAGATGCTTAACTGACTGAGCCACTCAGGTGCTCCTCAAAATATTTTCTAATTCCCCTTTTTCTTCCTTCTTCAAACCATTAGTTTATCAGGAATGTGATCTTTAATTTCCACATTTATGAGTTTTTAAATTGTCCTTCTTTTGCTTTTTAGTTTCCTTCCATTGTGGTTTGAAAAGATACTTAATATCATTTCAATCTTAAATTTATGATGACTTAACTTTGTGACCTAACATGATATATCCTATATATATGTGCACTTGAAAAGAATGTATATTTTCTGCTGCTAGGTGGAATACTTATTAGGTCCATTTTGTCTCAAGTATTGTTCAGTTCTGCTGTTTTGTTGTTGATAATCTGTCTAGATGTTCTATCCATTATTGAAAATGTGATATTGAAGTCTCCATGTAATATAATATTGTTATGTATTCTTCCCTGTAGTTCTGCTAAGGTTTGCTTTATATATGTAGGCAGGTACTCTGATGTTGGGCACATATATTTATAATTGTTATATCTTTCTGTAACTTTAATTTTTTGTTATATGATATAATCATTATATAATAATTTTCTCTCTCTCTCATGAGATATTTAAAGTCTATTTTGTCTGATGGAAGTATAGCCACCCCTGCTCTCTTTGGTTACCATTTACATTGAATATCTTTTTTTCATGCCTTCACGTTCTGCCTCTTTGTGTCCTTAAATCTAAAGTTCCTTGTAAAGAACGTATAGTTAGGTATTATTAGTTAATACATTCAGCCACTCTATTTTTTTTTAGGTCTTTTCATTTAAAGTCATTGATAGAGAAGGGCCTACCGCTGTCATTTTGAAAATTGTCTTTCTTGCACTTCTTTTGCCATCTACTTTTCTTTTTTAAATATATATGTAAAATATTTATATATCATATATTCATATTACATATAGTATATATGTTATATATATTATATATGTTTACAGGCTTTGATTCACTTTTCTTTGTCTTTTGTGTTTATTATGTAAGTATTTCCTTTATGTTTACCTTGTGGAACTTATATAAAATATTTTATAGTTATAATATTCTATTTAAACTGAAAACAATGACCTTCAATTAAAAATAGAACTCTAGGAGGGAGGGGCAAGATGGCGGAAGAGCAGGGTCCCCGAGTCACCTGTCCCCACCAAATTACCTAGATAACCTTCAAACCATCCTGAAAATTTACGAATTCGGCCTGAGATGTAAAGAGAGACCAGCTGGAACGCTACAGTGAGAAGAGTTCGCGCTTCTATCAAGGTAGGAAGACGGGGAAAAAGAAATAAAGGAACAAAAGGCCTCCGAGGGGGAGGGGCCCGCGAGGAGCCGGGCTGAGGCCGGGGCGAGTGTCCCCAGGACAGGAGAGCCCCGTCCCGGAGGAGCAGGAGCTGCACCAACCTTCCCGGGCGGGCGGAAAGGGGCTCGCAGGGAGTTAGAGCAGGACCCAGGAGAGCGGGGATGCCCTCAGGCTCCCGGGGACACTAACAGACACCTGCGAGCGCAGGAGAGTGCTCCGAGCTCCCTAAGGGCTGCAGCGCGCACGGCGGGACCGACCGGAGCAGCTCGGAGGGGCTCGGGCGGCGGCTCCGCGGAGGGGGCTGCGGGGCAGGAGCGCGAATCCACCAGCGCAGGCCCCGGAGCACAGGGCGCCGGGACACAGCCCAGGATCCGGCCTCCCCCGGGACAGGCAGAGGCCGGGAGGGCCCAGGACAGCGAGGACGCTCCTGCCCCGAGCTGAGCACATCAGCGGCCCCGCCCCGGAGCCTCCAGGCCCTGCGGACGGAGAGCCGAGAGCCCGAGCCCCGTAGTTCCTGCGGAGGCTGAATCCAGGCTTCCAGAGTTGCCATAGCAACTGCTGCTGTTCCTCCCTGGGTCCCACGGGGTAAACAACCCCCGCTGAGCCCTGCAGCAGGCAGGGGCAGAGCAGCTCCCCCAAGTGCTAACACCTGAAAACCAGCACAGCAGGCCCCTCCCCCAGAAGACCAGCTAGACGGACCTGTGATACTCCCCCGTGTTCCAATACAACTTGTTTTTGGCCACTCTGCACTGAGCAAAATGACTAGAAGGAAAACCTCACCTCAAAAGAAAGAATCAGAAACAGCCCTCTTTCCCACAGAGTTACAAAATCTGGATTACACTTCAATGTCAGAAAGCCAATTCAGAAGCACCATTATACAGCTACTGGTGGCTCTAGAAAAAAGCATTAAGGCCTCACGAGACTTCATGACTGCAGAATTTAGATCCAATCAGGCAGAAATTAAAAATCAATTGAATGAGATGCAATCCAAACTAGAAGTCCTAACGACGAGGGTTAACGAGGTGGAAGAACGAGTGAGTGACATAGAAGACAAGTTAATGGCAAAGAGGGAAACTGAGGAAAAAAGAGATAAACAAAGAACCATGAAGACAGATTAAGGCAAATGAACGACACTCTGAGGAAGAAAAACCTACGTTTAATTGGGGTTCCCGAGGGCGCCGAAAGGGACAGAGGGCCAGAATATGTATTTGAACAAATCCTAGCTGAAAACTTTCCCAATCTGGGAAGGGAAACAGGCATTCAGATCCAGGAAATAGAGAGATCCCCCCCTAAAATCAATAAAAACCGTTCAACACCTCGACATCTAATAGTGAAGCTTGCAAATTCCAAAGATAAAGAGAAGATCCTTAAGGCAGCAAGAGACAAGAAGTCCCTGACTTTCATGGGGAGGAATATTAGGGTAACAGCAGACCTCTCCACAGAGACCTGGCAGGCCAGAAAGGGCTGGCAGGATATATTCAGGGTCCTAAATGAGAAGAACATGCAACCAAGAATACTTTATCCAGCAAGGCTCTCATTCAAAATGGAAGGAGAGATAAAGAGCTTCCAAGACAGGCAGGAACTGAAAGAATATGTGACCTCCAAACCAGCTCTGCAAGAAATTTTAAGGGGGACTCTTAAAACTCCCCTTTAAGAAGAAGTTCAAGTAACTCTGAACATGAATGGGCTTAATGACCCCATCAAAAGGCGCAGAGTTTCAGACTGGATAAAAAAACAGGACCCATCTATTTGCTGTCTACAAGAGACTCATTTTAGACAGAAGGACACCTACAACCTGAAAATAAAAGGTTGGAGAACCATTTACCATTCAAATGGTTCTCAAAATATACCCTAAAAACTACAGAACACTTCTGAAAGAAATTGAGGAAGACACAAAGAGATGGAAAAATATTCCATGCTCATGGATTGGCAGAATTAATATTGTGAAAATGTCAATGTTACCCAGGGCAATTTACACATATAATGCAATCCCTATCAAAATACCATGGACTTTCTTCAGAGACTTAGAACAAATTATTTTAAGATTTGTGTGGAATCAGAAAAGACCCCAAACAGCCAGGGGAATTTTAAAAAAAGAAAACCATATCTGGGGGCATCACAATGCCAGATTTCAGGTTGTACTACAAAGCTGTGTTCATCAAGACAGTGTGGTACTGGCACAAAAACAGACACATAGATCAATGGAACAGAACAGAGAACCCAGAAGTGGACCCTGAACTTTATGCTCAACTAATATACAATAAAGGAGGAAAGACGATCCACTAGAAGAAAGACATTCTCTTCAATAAATGGTGCTGGGAAAATTGGACATCCACATGCAGAAGAATGAAACTGGACCACTCTCATGCACCATACACAAAGATAAACTCAAAATGGATGAAAGATCTAAATGTGAGACAAGATTCCATCAAAATCCCAGAGAAGAACTCAGGCAACACCCTTTTTGAACTTGGCCACAGTAACCGGAGAAGGACAAACAGTGTATGTTCTCATTCATTTGGGGAATATGAATAATAGTGAAAGGGAATATAAGGGAAGGGAGAAGAAATGTGTGAGAAATATCAGAAAGGGAGACAGAACATAAAGACTTCTAACTCTGGGAAATGAACTAGGGGTGGTGGAGGGGGAGGAGGGTGGGGGGTGGGGGTGAATGGGTGACGGGCACTGAGGGGTACACTTGACGGGATGAGCACTGGGTGTTATTCTGTATGTTGGTAAATTGAACACCAATAAAAATTAATTTATAAAAAAAAAAAAAATAGAACTCTATAATATTATTTTTTCCACATAAACACATTTTATATTAATGTCACAATTTACATCTTTTTATGTTGTATATTGATCAACATTTTTATACTTATATTTTAATACTTTTGTCTTTTAATTTTATACTAAAATTAAGAGTGATTTACTCACTACTATTACATGTATTATATACTCACCAAAGTATTACATTATTCTGTATTTGTCTATATATTTACCTTTGCCATGAGTTATATACTTTAATATGCTTTCATGTTACCATTTAGCATCCTTATGTTTCACCTTGAAGAACTCTAACATCTCTTGTTAATGGAGTTCTCTTACTAATGAACTCTCTCAACTTTTGTTTGCCTGGTCGATCCTTCATTTTTGAAAGACAGTTTTTCTAGGTAATAATAATTCAGCAACTCTATAATCACTCGGTGCTCATCACAAAAAGTGTATTCCTTTTTTATTTTTATTAGATACTTGTTTGTTCATTCATTCATTCATTCATTCACGAGAGACACAGAGGCAGAGACATAGGCAGATGGAGAAGCAAGCTCAGGACCCCTGGGATCATGACCTGAGCCAAAGGCAGACGCTCAACCACTGAGCCACCCAGATGCCCCAGGGCACTCCTTTTTTAATCTTAATTCCAGTGTAGTTAACATACAGTGTTATATCAGTTTCAGCTGTACCATATAGTGACTTAGCAATTCCATATATTACTCAGTGCTCATCAAGATAAGTATACTGTAGGAGATAGTGCTAATTCTTTTGAGTAATCCATAAGCAGGCTGGATTTAAGATAGTAATTTGCATTATCTTATCATGCTCTCTCACCAAAGCTCAGCTTCTTTTATGTCTTCTGATTACTTGTAGGTCGTTACCCTCCTACCAGAGAAGAGGTCTATATTCATGGATTTGACATCTCAAAGAACATAATGGAGATTCGAAAAAATCTGGGCTTCTGCCCACAGCAAGACTTGTTGTTTAATGACTTGACAATCTCAGAACACCTATTTTTCTACTCTGTGGTGAGTCAAAAATATTTTTAAACTATACAGTAAATTTATTTTTTTCTTTTGATATATAGATATATGAAATTTAACGCATTCGACTAGCACCACAGAGTAGTTTCATCACCCCAAAACACTCCCTCGTGCTACTCCTTTGTAAGTCATCCCTATCCCCACCCTGGTAATCACTGGTCTATCCTTAATCACTAATGTCTTATTGAGAATACCATCGTAAATGGAATCCTATATTATGTAACCTTAAAAAATTAGCTACTGACACAGAGCATAATGCCTTTGAGATATATCCATACTAATGTATGATTAGTAGTATGTTTCTTTTAATTGCTAAGTAGTACTTCATGTTTATTTTTTTAATAAATTCATTTTTTATTGGTGTTCAATTTGCCAACATATAGAATAACACCCGTACTTCATATTTAGATGTAATATAGTACATCAATTAAAGGATATTTGGGTTGTTTACAGTATGAGTATGAATAAAGCTGTTCTGAATTTCAGGTAGAGTTTTTTGTGTATAAATATAATTTTTCATTTCTCTCAGAATGAGATTACTGGACTATATTATAAGTGTTTATAAGTAACTTCCAAACTTCTTTCTAGAGTGACTGTACCATTTTGCACCCCCCACCAGCCATCTATATGGCCGAGAATTCCAATTGCTCCATATCCTTGCCAGAATTTGGTATTGTAATATTTTTTAACATTTTTTTATGGTTTTATTTTTTTTAATTTATTTATTTATGATAGTCACAGAGAGAGAGAGAGAGAGAGGCAGAGACATAGGCAGAGGGAGAAGCAGGCTCCATGCACCGGGAGCCCGATATGGGATTCGATTCCGGGTCTCCAGGATCACGCCCTGAGCCAAAGGCAGGCGCCAAACCGCTGCGCCACCCAGGGATCCCTTTTTAACATTTTTTTAAGGGTGAGAGAGCAAAAGCAGGGAGAGGGGCAGATGGAGAGGGAGAGAATCTCAAGCAGACTCCATACTCAGTGTGGAGCTTGACATGTAGCTCAGTCACATGACCCTGAGATCATGATCTGAGCTGAAATCAAGAGTTAGATGGTTAACCAACTGAGCAACACAGGCATCCCTTCTTAACATTCTAACCATTCTAATAGATATGTAGTTGTATATAATCCTGGTTTTAATTTGAATTTCATGAATGGCTAATGGTGTTGAACATCTTTCATGTACTTATTTCCTATTTTTATACCCTCTTTGATGAAATATTTGTTCAGGCCCTTTGTCCATTCTTAAAATATGATTTTTCATTTTGTTATTTAATTTTGGAGAGTTCTTTATATATTCTGGATATATATCCTTGGTTGGCTATGTGCTTTGCAAATATTTTTCCTATTTCTGTAGTTTGTCTTTTCATTTTCTTGGCAATGCTTTTTATAGACCAAAAGTTTTTAATACTGAAATCCAGTCTATCACATTTTTTATCACATTTTTCTTAAAGGATCCTGCCTTTGCCATCTTTTCTAGAACTCTGTGCCTAACCCCAAGGCATGAAGATTTATTCTGTATTTTCTTCTAAATTTTTGTAGTTTTATGTTATACTCAGATCTATGGTCCATCTGCGGTCCACTTGCTTAAAGTTATAAAATGTAGATCTAGGTTCATTGTTTTGCATATAGATGGTCAGTTGTTCTAAAACCATTTTTTGAAAATACCGTTCTTTCATCTTTGAATTGCTTTTTACAGTGTCAAGGATCAAATGGTCATATTTCTGTGGCCTTATTAACTCAAGAGTTTCTTTTATGTGCTATTGATCCACACTGCCCTGATTTGTATAGCTTTATAGTAAGTTTAATATATGAAAGTGCTATTCATCCAACTATATTCTTTTTCTTTTTTAATTTTTTTATTTTTTTAATCATAGCATCTGGCTATTAATATGGCTACATGGTATTGGCCCCATGCAATTAACATTTTGCACATTTAGTAAGCTTCAAATATGCTAATGACCTGTAACAGTCTATACACTTTATTTTTTTAATAATAAATTTATTTTTATTGCTGTTCAATTTGCCAACATACAGAATAACACCCAGTACTCATCCTGTCAAGTCCCCCCCTCAGTGCCCGCCACCCAGTCACCCCCACCCCCCCGCCCTCCTCCCCTTCTACCACCCCTAGTTCGTTTCCTAGAGCTAGGAGTCTTCCATGTTCTGTCTCCCTTTCTGATATTTCCTACCCATTTCTTCTCCCTTCCCCTCTATTCCCTTTCACTATTATCTATATTCCCCAAATGAATGAGACCATATGTTTGTCCTTCTCCGATTGGCTTATTTCACTCAGCATACCCTCCAGTTCCATCTACGTCGAAGCAAATGGTGGATATTTGTCATTTCTAATGGCTGAGTAATATTCCATTGTATTCGTAAACCACATCTTTATCCATTCATCTTTCGATGGACATCGAGGCTCCTTCCACAGTTTGGCTATTGTGGACATTGCTGCTAGAAACATCGGGGTGCAGGTGTCCTGGTGTTTCATTGCATCTGTATCTTTGGGGTAAATCCCCAGCAGTGCAATTGCTCATCCAACTATATTCTTTTTCAAGTGTTTTAGCTATTATAGCTGTTTGGCTCTTCCAAATAAATTTGCGTATTATCTCTTATGTGTCTACAAAAGTTCTACTGTGATTTTGATTGATATTACATTAAATCTGTATAGCACTTTGGAGAAAGTCAACATTGTTATCATGTTGAGAGATTTCAAATCCTTGATCATGATATCTCTATTAAATTGTTTGATATAATCACCATTTTTAGTTTTCAATATATAAGTCTTATAATTTCTTTCATTTGGGGGGGCTTTAAAAAGCTTTTTGATTTCCAGTTGTTCATTTTTTGTACATGGAAAAATGATTGATATTTATATGTTGACCGCTTATTCTTTTACCTTACTGAGCTCACTTAATGGGTTTAGGAGTGTTTTTTTGTAGATTCCTTGGTTTTGTGGGTAGACAATCATATCATAGAAGAATAGGTATAGGGTCTTTGTGCCAATATGTTTGCTATTTATTTATTTATTTACTTCATGCCCCACTGGCTAGTAACAGCATGATGTTGTGGGCATCCTTGACTTGTTTCTTATCTCGGGGTATAGCATTCTATTTTCACCATTAAAATTTTTTTTGCAAATACCATTTATTAGTATGAGGAAGTACCTTTCTTTGTTTTTTAAATTTTATTTTAGGGAGGAGGGGCAAGATGGCGGAGGAGTAGGGTCCCCAAATCACCTGTCCCCAACAAATTACCTAGATAACCTTCAAACCATCCTGAAAATCTACGAATTCGGCCTGAGATTTAAAGAGAGACCAGCTGGAATGCTACAGTGAGAGGAGTTCACGCTTCTATCAAGGTAGGAAGACGGGGAAAAGAAATAAAGAAACAAAAGGCCTCCGAGGGGGAGGGGCCCCGGAGGAGCCGGGCTGAGGCCGGGGCGAGTGTCCCCAGGACAGGAGAGCCCCGTCCCGGAGGAGCAGGAGCTGCACCAACCTTCCCGGGCGGGCGGAAAGGGGCTCGCAGGGAGTTGGAGCAGGACCCAGGAGGGCGGGGATGCCCTCGGGCTCCCGGGGACACTAACAGGCACCTGCAAGCGCAGGAGAGTGCACCGAGCTCCCTAAGGGCTGCAGCGCGCACCGGAGCAGTTCGGAGGGGCTCGGGAGCGGCTCCAGGGAGGGAGCTGCGGGGCGGGAGCGCGAATCCAACAACACAGGCCCGGGAGCACAGGGCGCCGGGACACAGCCCAGGATCCGGCCTCCCCCCGGGACAGGCAGAGGCCGGGAGGGCCCAGGACAGCAAGGACGCTCCTGCCCCGAGCTGAGCAGATCAGCGGCCCCGCCCGGAGCCTCCAGGCCCTGCAGACGGAGACGGGGCTCTCGTAGTTCCTGCGGAGGCTGAATCCAGGCTTCCAGAGTTGCCATAGCAACTGCGGCTGATCCTCCTGGGCCCCACGGGGTAAACAACCCCCGCTGAGCCCTGCAGCAGGCAGGGGCAGAGCAGCTCCCCCAAGTGCTAACACCTGAAAATCAGCGCAACAGGCCCCTCCCCCAGAAGACCAGCTGGACGGACCAGTTCCAGGGGAAGACAAGGGACTTAAACTCTACAGAAATACTCCCCCGTGTTTTTTTTTTTCTTTTCTTTTTTCTTTTCTTTTTGATTTCTGATTGCTTCCCCCACCCCCTTTTTTTTCACCTTTCTTTCTTTTTCTTTCCCTTTTTCTTCTCTTCTTTCCTTTTTCTTTTCTTTTTCTTTTTTCTTTTTCTCTTTTCTTTCCTTCTCTCTCTTTCTCTCATTCTCCCAATACAACTTGTTTTTGGCCACTCTGCACTGAGCAAAATGACTAGAAGGAAAACCTCACCTCAAAAGAAAGAATCAGAAACAGCCCTCTCTCCCACAGAGCTACAAAATCTGGATTACAATTCAATGTCAGAAAGCCAATTCAGAAGCACTATTATACAGCTACTGGTGGCTCTAGAAAAAAGCATTAAGGACTCACGAGACTTCATGACTGCAGAATTTAGATCCAATCAGGCAGAAATTAAAAATCAACTGAATGAGATGCAATCCAAACTAGAAGTCCTAACGACGAGGGTTAACGAGGTGGAAGAACGAGTGAGTGACATAGAAGACAAGTTAATGGCAAAGAGGGAAACTGAGGAAAAAAGAGATAAACAATTAAAGAACCATGAAGACAGATTAAGGGAAATAAATGACACTCTAAGGAAGAAAAATCTACGTTTAATTGGGGTTCCCGAGGGCGCCGAAAGGGACAGAGGGCCAGAATATGTATTTGAACAAATCCTAGCTGAAAACTTTCCCAATCTGGGAAGGGAAACAGGCATTCAGATCCAGGAAATAGAGAGATCCCCCCCTAAAATCAATAAAAACCGTTCAACACCTCGACATCTAATAGTGAAGCTTGCAAATTCCAAAGATAAAGAGAAGATCCTTAAAGCAGCAAGAGACAAGAAGTCCCTGAC